ATTATTAATAGCGCTGACGTCAGTATCTGACATCTCCACAGTATTACAAGACACGATTCTACCCAAAAATTCAATTTTCTTTTGGAAGAATACGCACTTGGCAGGCTTAAGTTTCAGGTTAAACTGGCGGAAACGCTCTAAGGCCTCCTCAAGGTTCTTGCGATGATCCTCAAACGACTTCCCTAGGATCACTACATCGTCTAGGAACGCAAGGGCTGTTTGCCAATTAAGGCCCCGCAGAACCATGTTAATCACCCGTGAGAAGGTTGCTGGGCTATTACATAAACCAAATGGCATTTTAACAAACTCGAATAGACCGTACTTAGTCACAAAAGCGGTCTTTTTCCGGTCGTCAGGATGCAAATTGACTTGCCAATACCCAGATATTGCATCGAGTTTCGAAAACCATTGGTTACCAGTTAACGTGTCCAGGCAATCTTCTAGTATGGGTAGGGGATACACGTCTTTAACAGTAACGTTATTCAGAGCGCGATAGTCAATGCAGAAACGGACATTGCCATCGCGTTTGCGCACTAGAACAGGTGCGGACGCCCACTCAGAATTAGAGGGCTGAATAATACCACCATGAAGCATCTTATCTAATTCCTTCCTCTCCTCCCCCGCAAAATGCAAGGGAGTACGGCGCAGTCGCTGCTTCACTGGGGGTGCCGTTGATGTGTCGATCCTGTGCTCGATATGCGGAACTTCGCCAATATCAAACTGATCTTTGGCGAACACATCTGCAAACTCAGTAAGCAGCTGCTGTACTATCTCTGCTTGGGGTTTAGATAATTCACCTATAGAGGCGTAATAGGACCCCTGCAAATGAGGTGGTAAGTAGGTGGTACCAGGGTCAGAATTGTTATCTGGAATTGCATTCCCTGGAGAATAGACCTCTGCCTCTGAGGCGGTTCCAATCTCTCGCCCAGTACGTAGAGTTACATATTTATCGGTGGTGTTAACTACACAAATTTTGGGCGAATCACCAGCGCTGTGCATTGTTCTAGGCAGCGTTAAGTTTGGGTGTGTATAGGGCTCAACAATATAGTCCGCCAAATCATTTTCCAAATGACAATGAACATATATCATTGAGTTTGGTGGCACAACACGTCGTTTCCGGACAGTTACTTTACACACCGATGGTATAGAGGGCACTGTACCCGTACTAAATAGTGGGACAGTGGTGTCGCCAACTTTCAACTGAAGTTTACTAATCTGGACATCCGCATGTGCTTCTTTCATAAAATCCAGGCCCAATAGCATATCATCCTCAATTGGCGCTACATACACAAAGAGTGGATAAATGATCCCTCCTACGCCAAGTTGGACCGGGCCCACTTTCCGCCCTTGCATGGAAACACCTTTCCCTGCCATTAAGAGCCTGATTTTTCCCACTGTAGGTGGTGTCGGTACAAGTGTATTATAAATATGTTCAGCTATTATACTAACTGTAGCCCCACAGTCAATGACTGCGTTTAGAGGTATTGATGCCAGGGTAACACGAGCATGTAGCAACGAATCAGATTTAACCCGCTGAACCACTAATGACCCTGCATTGCAATCCCCTTTGGATTGGTCGGATTCGACCACTAATGGTTTAAAGGCTGCTCACCACCGGTTTGATCTGGCGTTACGATTCGCACAGACTTGTTCGGTTGTTTCGTGATTTTTGTTGGACATTCCCGATAATAATGCCCTGGCTCACCACAGGTAAAACACTCTGCAGGCCGTTCTGGCGACTTGCGTCTAAGAGGGGACTTGCGCCGATCATGATCTGGCGGATTAGGTGCCCATTGCTGTAACTGAGTGGTGAGTGCAGCAATTGATTTTTCAAGGGAACTAAATTTAGCCTCAACCTTGTTCTCCAGCCCCTGTAACCTGGAGTCCATTATTTGTTCTCCAGTCCTGGGTCCGAAAGGTGGTTTATACCCTTGGCGGCGGAAACCCCCTGGGGAATTTCTCCGATTAAACCTATCCGGTTTTCGCCAGGCGGTATCCTGGCGCACTTCCCTCACAGTTCCTTGTTGGATTTCAGTTGGTAAAGATCCATCAGAGTCAGTCTCACTTGAGTGAGCTGCCAGCTGACAGACCTTGGCAGAGGAGGTGTTAGTGGGATGAGTAGCGGCCCCTGAGAGAGCCCCAGTCTCACCATGCACACATGTGTGCCAATCAATATAACGGATAGCTTTATTGATATTCGCTGGCCTTTTCAAGCAAGCGTAAGAACCTGCGGCGGTATCTTTGCACCCTAAACAGACATGCATAGCCGCAGTGGACTCAATGGATTTGGTCCCATCTCCCTTATAAGCCTTAGCCGCTGCTTGCAGAACACGAGCGCCCCAATCCTGGAGCGATTCCTTCTCACGTTGTCGCAATTGAAGGAATTTGGTCTGAAGGACGGATTTTTCCTCCTCCTGCCCGAAATGCTCATCAAAAGCGTTAATAATCGCCCCGTAATCTAGGGCGTCTCCACCCACAGAGTATAATGTCTGTAGATAAGAAGCAGCTTTACCCCTTAAACTAAGATAGAACCCCTCTTTCTTTTCCCGGGCTGACCACTCGTTCATGCGAGCGTATGCCTCGAATCGGTCCTTAAAGACACACCAGTCATCCTGACCTGAATACTCTAGATTC